ACCCTAACCCTAACCCTAACCCTAACCCTAACCCTAACCCTAACCCTAACCCTAACCCTAACCCTAACCCTAACCGCCCAACGTACCGACGGCTGCCCGCCCATCCGCATTCGCCAGCCTCTCCCGAGCGCCATCCATCCGATCATAATATTAATAACCGTATGCGCGCCTACGTACATCTAAGCGGCGTATTAGTCCCGGAACGCGAGCACCGCTTAAATCCCGACCTCGTCTTAATCCTGGGGCTAGCCCTCGAACGCGGCTTCTAAAAAAAAAAGCCGGGACTATTATAAAATAGCCGCTAATATACCTATATATAAATACGGCTCCGTATACCCGAGCGGGCGGGTTCGGATCCCTAACGCCGCATAAAAGCATAATAGCAAGTTAAAATATACCTATCTACCGACCTAAGTCTTAACTAAAGCAACGAAAAATAAAAATACGGCCTGGTTAAATATCTTATCGTCGCCCTGAGGATAAATACCTTCGACCCCTTTTCCGTCCTCGTCGTTATCTTAGCCGTTATAAAACCCGTTATCGTAGCTATTAATAATACTACTCTTATCTAACTTAGCTATTATATCGCATAATAAGCCTTACTACTCGTTCGTAAAACGGATAGCCTAACGCTTTAATACCTCGTCTCGTCCGATCCGATACGCCCGCTAATAAAAACCTAAATACTAATACCCTACTAACTAGTATTTAATTATAAACGCCTCCTTACCTTTAAGCCCGAACGGCATCCTATTAAGATTAATATTTACGATATTAATAAGCTATTAAAGCGTCTCGGCCGGTACGCTATCTAATCGCTAGCTATACCGTTCTACTTTACGATCGAAATTCTTCCTAAGACATAATAAAACTAATCGCTCTCGCACGGCCTCTTCATCCCATTCCTAACCTCATCCTAACGCTATACTCTTAGCCCATATCCACTTAATAGCGTCGTAAATCCTAAGAAGATCGCAAGACCTAAAATACTTAACCTATTATAACCTCTTTACTTATAATAAATCCTAGTTTATATCTTCCTTTGAATCCCTTATTCTTAGCCGCTCGGTATCCTCGGTGTTAAGTTCGGCCGTATACTAAGCTATTATTAACTTTATAACATCTTTCCCGCTACTATTACCTAAAATAGGTCCTACCTCGGCCTCGTTATTACCGATAATTTAATATCGTACGTACTTCCCGCGCATTTACGTTTATAACTAAACCTTTATTAATATCGGCCTAATCGCTATATACCCGGCCTCCCGCTAATAGTATGTAATATTATTTTTTACCGTAATAAGATAGTAGTATACGAAGCAGTTATACCCCCGCAGAACGTTAAACTATTTAATAGCCGAGCTACTATCGCCAGGCAAAATATTAACTTTTAGATTAGCTAAATCTAAGCAACTATAATAATCTTTAATATCTTTAAAAACCTCTCTTTTTAGCTAATACTCGTGGCGGAAGTACGACTTAATATTATTACCGGGCCGGATAGCTGCTTTGCATTTCCGATAAATAAGTATACGATGCTTCTTATTAATCTCGACGAAGCTATCCATAGCGATTTAATACCGCTTTTTATTTTATAATAGTAAATAAATAATATAAAATAATCTTCCTATTTATTATTCTTTTATTACCTTATTAGCACCCCTTTCTCATAACTTAACCCTAGTAACTACCTATATAACCCGAACCCTAAATCTCTATTCAACGTGCAGCGCCAGCCAATCATTACTCCGTCCCAACTCCAACCGATATTACTCCAACGCTCGGATCACATCTTGCAGTTTATATAGCCGATTCTACTTAAATCGCCTCCGAATAATACTCAGGCTGAAGCAAGCATCAATGGATACTCTAGATCGCTTTAGCACATTTATTCGTATTGACAAAGAAGCTGTGGCTGTAATGAATGTTTTGTGTTAAACGCCCAGAGTAGTCTCTCTTTGTGCCCCTGTCATTGATGATCTTGTCCGCAAGAGACGCGTCGTTAAGTGAGGCGATGATATCACCAAGAGACCTTTCTCCATGGATTGCGGAGGGATGCGCTGCGCGAGATCGGTACGTCACCTAGATATCAACACAACAATCTACTAGGACAGGTCCTCTGAATTCTCCTCGGGGAGGAATGCAACGCGGTGTGGTTGGATATCGATCCTTAATACTGAAGTGAGTCTAAATTGCGAAAGGGCTGCGAGTCTCCAAACACCACTGTCACTCGTTGAATAGCACACAAATACAGAAAGCAAACAGGCGGTAGTCATCGAACACCAGCTGCAGATATATCAGTGGCGAAGTGTTCTGAGACTTTCACCGTGTCGGCTATGGACTTGGGCACTGCTCATGGGACCTTCTCTTACTACCAGGCAAAATGGCGGTCTCGCGAGCTACCTCGGTGGATGAGTGTCCCTGTTGTCAAGTCCCCCTGGTGTAGTCTGTAATGATTCGGATGTATGGGCCGACCCGTTACGCTGCCCCTGAAGGAGCAGGGTTGTTGAACAGCCCGTGGCATGGCATGACATTCCCCTTAGCCACCGAACTTTCGCCTAGGCCCAGACCTCGCAGTGACTCGGACTCTTTCAATCTCTGCCTGTATAGCTTGATAGCTGGAAAAGGTGACGCTCCTTCGGTCTCATCTGCCACTCAACTATTAACGGACACGAGCATCCCGGATTCCAAATACGCTTCTTCGAGTAGAAGGACTAGCTAGCCGTGGCGCTCGTAGACCAGGAGCACAATCATTTTACTTTCTCTTCCTTACGTCAGTCAAGTCCCTGCCTGCCTTTATCCTAATTCACTCAACTCAGTATGTACTGTCTGTCAAGGTTCCTCGAGGCTCGTCATGGCAACACGCGGTAGCCGAATCGCGTATCTTAGATATCAAGTCTCTTTTCAAGTCACTTCGCGCTTCCCTTAAATGTCCAGGGGAGTCGTCACACACTCGGCCAGAATCTGAAAGAGTTCAGTTACCATGCTCCGGGCCAGGTAGTCCCAGCGCCTCGATCCAGCTGTGCGACTCTTAGCCCTCATCCCCAGCTTCCCATTGCCTGACCCAATGTTGTGGTTCGTCGAAGGCAGTCGCGTAGAGTTGCTCGAGATGTTCGTTCATGGCGTGCGACCAGACCAAACCCCCGAGAGTGACAGTGCATGGCCCAATGTCAATAGTATTTGACAAGTCGTGCTTAATCGTTGCCCATCGCTTTTTGGTGTATTAGATCAGCAATGCCGACGATGTTCTTGATGGCGTGCTGGCGGCCGCGGTCTTCTTAGAGGTTAAACGCCTACGTAGCACGAACTTAAATAAAGCTGGCGTCTTTGTGCTAATGGTCGCCGTGTATTCTAAGCTGCTCTCGATAGTTAGGGCTAATATGGACCTTAAAAAACTGCGTAAAATAATACGAGGCAGTAATGATGAAGATCCTAGAGAAACAATCAGTCCCACGGCCCTCTTAACGCTAGTTATGCTTGGAGAAGCTCCCCCGGATCTAGACTTACGTATTCTGTGGTCCCGCTTATTTTAGGGACTTATCTATCCACAAAGCTAACGCCTAGCCGATCATTTATGTAAAACGCTCGTCGGTAAGGATGTGTCTATCGCTATAAATAGAATTTAAATTCCGTTTTATTTTGGGAATTGCGATGCGGCCGTGAACGTAGCTTAAATCCTTTATAAGCAGAAGGCCTCCGTTATTGATAGATATATAGGCGATGTCCGGTTGCACTTTGTAGTTTAGCGAAAGTCTGTGGTCGTCAAAGTCGACATGATGCTCGTCCTCGGCTGAGGTTGGAATGTTGAATAGTACGTGCCTAATGAAGGCGCTCGCGAATCGGTAGGTAAGATCCTCCGACAAAGCTAGGTAGACGACGGACTCCACCTCGTTAATATAACTTAGAGAAGAGGGTCGATTGGTAGAGATCGAGGGACTTGAGGAGGGGCGCGACTTGTGAAATTTAGTAACCATGGTGTCTAATCGAAAGCCTTTTCGACCTTCTCTACGTGGGCAACGATTCTGGGGAGCTATACAACGGTGTCCCTTGCTTCTTCTCCGGATCGGGGGTTAGTTGGGGGGGAGGTGAGCTTGGCATTGAGCTGCCATCGCCGGCAAGCTTGTCACCTGCATCGTAACTATTGACATGCTGATCTTTAGGTTGAGCATCACCTGTTCGACACAGACGATTCATAGCAGCCCAAATTGGTCCAAGCGATTTGCCGTAGGTTTCCTGCAGCGCGTACTCAGAGCATGGGACATCTTTGACGCGGTCACTGAGCTCGGGGCCTTGAATAAGGCTCTCCAGCGCTGTCCTGGCATCATCATGGTCTTTCCAGAACGCGGAATTTGAGGGGAGATGGTTCCTGTTGTTGACAGCGAGAACGCGCAGGGCAGACAGCTGATCGCGGCCCCAATTACTGGCGCTCCCCTCGTTCAAGCTCTCGAGCCAATTTTCCTTCCGTTGTCGTTCGCGGTGAAAGATATTGGGCGTTGTGACGGTGTCAAAGTAGAAGTTCTGCGTCATGGTGGTTGGCCTGGCGACGGAGCAACTCGGAGTTGGAGACCTCCAAAGAGATACAAATGCGGGGGAGCTCCATGCGGGGGTGGTCCAGACGGGGAGTGAGTGGCACCCCACTGGTGCTGTTCCTCCAATTAAACGTGGTGTGGCATCGCTGTAGCAACCGAGAAAACGCTGCTAGAGTTTATGAAGTACGCAAACCCAACTGAGGTTCAGGGCGGGCAGCGTTTAGAGGGCGCTGCATCATCAATCACCCCACCACGGCCACTGCATCCTTGCGTTCACATCCGCTCACGGAGAACACACCGGCAAACGTGCATCCCAATGTGCACTCTTCACGATAACATCCAGGCCTGGCTTTTGAATCTACCCAAGGATCACGAAATACCCTTCAACGCGTCTCCGACGACAACCCGCAAGCGCAAGCGACTAACCAGCCATGCCCTCACCCCTCCGGGCTCCGACGACGAACAAGGGCATGCGACGATCATGACTGATCAAAGCGGAGGAGGGCCTCTCACGCCGCAAAAGCGCCAGCGTCTCATACCTGCCGGCGGATACCAATTCAACCCCGAAGACAATACCGAAACCCCTCGTGCGGTGCGACCAGGCGATTCCGTCTCCTGCGATGGTAGCAGCGTATCTCTAAGTGCGGGCAGCGGTGCATACTCCGTGGCCTCATCATCGCGACCTAGTCGCTCCAAGTCGCCCACGAAACGATTCAGCATAGCAGAAATCAGCAAGAACCCGATCAAGGTCTATGCGCTAGATTCCATAAGGACACTCGAGAACATCGACGCCAGGCCTGGTGCGGGGAGCCTACGAGAGTCTCTCAGCATTATCTCCAGGATCGCGAAAAGTAGAGGAATCGTCCCTAACAGCGATGTGGTATGATTTTGTTGCTCTTCCCCCCGTCCGTTTCCCGGCGTCACTGTGATGGTAGTCCTGACAGAAGTATTGCGCAGGATTCAATTCGATGTTCCAACCCCGAGATAGATCTCGACGACGATGCTGTTTACGATGTGAGCGATATCCACGTTAAACGATACGGACCGGTACCTTCGTTCGCGGAGGTGAATGCTATTGTCCAGACATCGCAGTACGGCATTGCGGAAAAGTTTGACGAGGCCAGCTGGGATCGTGAAGTGCACTTCCGTGTACTCGCCCTGTCTTTGCGGCGTCCTCTCGCGCCTGCTAGAGATGGCCTGATCAATTTCGCACCTTCGTAAGTATTACTTGTGCATCTACACCTCGAAAGGATGGGACCAATAGCTGACGTTTCTTTCCATCTACACAGAACGACAGCTGCAATCCACCACAAGCTGATCAAAGATATGCCGCCTCGTATGGTCGACTTCTGTGTCTTTATTGATCCGGAATCAACAAGTACAGAACACAAGCCTATTGTCACTGAAGCCATTGATCGTATGCGGCACATGTCTGGCTACTCGTCCATCAACCACACGTCTCACTTTCTCTTTCGCAATAAGCCCATCTCGTTGAGCATCGAGTCTAAGCAGCGCGGTTCTAGCCAGGATGACGCACATTTGCAGATCGGGACATGGCATGCTGCACAATGGACTTACCTGGATCGCCTTGCACAAATTCAAGGGGCCACATTACAAGGCTTGGCTTTCCTTCCGGGTCTTATTGTTCAAGGAGAGGACTGGCATTTCGTAGCCTCCACGAGAGAGGGAGCCAGTACAGTAAGACGCCCCCATTGGTGTTCTCCGCCTCTCCCGTTCGTACTGCCTCTTGTTCTCCTTGCTAATTCAAAGTGTAGCTGCTGTGGTCCAAGAAGAACATAGGCTCGACCACGAACCATGAAGGAGTTTACCAGGTTGTCCGGGTAATTCAATACCTTGCCTGGTGGACGGAGACGGTATATTGGCCCTGGTTTTCGTCGATCATCCTCGGAGCTTCAGCGAGTGGGCCATGAATGGCGTTTGGTGTTGGTTTGAAAAGAGCTCATCCTTGAAATTACCACGCCCCCTAATCCAGGTCCATCACCCATGGTGCGTCCGTCATGCCAACTAACCGAGGACTTGAGATACGTCTTGCGTATGCAGTACTCTATCTTCAAATTGGCCGCTCGCCTATGAGCGACGTGGGGTCAGTCCATTGCCGTGGCCCATCGTTGCTGCCGCCACTTTTGGGAAATGGCGAAAGCTATTTTGGGCGAGTAAGCCCATTCCAGTCTCATCATGTCGGCTTGGATGGCGTGCTCCCCAAGACGACGAGGGCTATGTAGTCAAGCTGCCAGAAAGGGCGATTACTAACATCATGCCGAGATGGTGCCCCGATGCAGCCGAATCGCTCCATCTCTGACGAAAAGTCGCGTGTTCATGCTTCATTTGCCTGATGGCTGTTTGAAAAATTCCACCGTTGTGCATGGCTAGACCAAGAACACTGAGCGCTGTGAAATGAGACATGGATCTTCTTCTACGTTGTCGATCGGACGGGCTCCTCTGGAAATGACGTCGCGCCTTGCCTGTCATAGAGAGATCAGACACCACGAGACTGTCGTAGCTGAGAAGGATTTCCTTCACGCCGCGTTATTTGAAGGTTTCGAGATCATGCTGTGGTCGATGCTCTCAGCCTATGGTAGTGGTTTTACTTAGATCCACTAGAGCTGCCGTGAAGCTTGCAATTCAGAACGGGTGCGATGTCCGTCAGGGTCCGAGATCTGATGCGGAGGCTCGGTGCAGAGAGGATTATTGGCGAGCGTCCCAGTCACGAAGATGGAACACTCCTCGGATTAGTCTTACGAGACCGGGTATGGATGTTTGAAGAATCGGCGCAGAGGTTAAAGAATAGACCACGAGAAACTTTGTTCAACTATCAACACCACAATGTCGACACTCAATTGCATGATGAAAAGATGATGTGCGGCCAGCTATATCTATTTACATGGTCGGCGATGTGAGTATTGAATGATTGAAAGCAGAGGCATTTGTGTACGGCCAGGGGAAGACACCACTCAATCAGCTGGAGCCAGACCCAGACGACTCAGCAGGTTTTGGCGCCCAGTCGGGTTGAAAGTCGACATTTTCCCCTCTCCACTTCGCCATCTCACAATCGCTTCAAACCACCAATTGGCAGCACTTTCAAAGATTGAACAGGAACTGTCGGAAATTGGAGCGATAATTGGAAGTATAGCAGTCACTCAGCTTAAATGCTGTATTTTCTTACTCTGGGTTGCGATCAAAACCGTCGCCCTTTGCTCACCAAGTTTGTCAATCACTCGGCTCTCCATTGATCGCAGACTCATGGTGCAGATTACGCGTACATAAGGTAAGGTAACCCCACTTGCCTTAGCGGGAGTCATTAGCGAAGGAACATTCAGTTTAGTAGTACGTCATTCAAATCAGGAGGCAAATCGCAGCCACAGGTAGGAAAGGACGACAGATCACAATACCTGGATGAGGAATGACGACGTATGTTATCCTTTCCGCTCCAAGTGAATCAGATACGCTGCACAGCAAACTCCCAGAGAAGTCAGTAGACAGTGATATGTCACAGTCGGCTATATAAAAGCAAGGTCTGGAAATAGAACTCGGCAATCAACGCCGCATAGTAAATAGAGCATTCCCTAAACGATTTTATCAAGCCTACTGGACAGCCCAAGTCTTCTGTGCTGAGGTGAACAGGGTCACTTCCAGCGAGCTATTCTACAGCATCAGCAGGCTAGAAGTGTGCACCAAAATACAAACATTTTCATTGCTGGAGGCCTGAAGAATTTTGAGCTTAATAGATTGTGCTATAGTTACTTATGTCTTCTGGTCAGCCCCTTCACCCTCGTACTGCTGTTCCCCGGTGAGTCTTTACAGTAACCACTTAATCATCAACAATTCAGCATTCCTCATCATCAGGGGAATGATTCCATCATTCCTTTTATCTGAGGGAGCTCCAACTGTTATTATAAACGACTGGTAACAGCCCTTGTCAAAGGACCGGCTACCTTTACATGAGAAATTGTTTAATCAGCACTAGCAAGGAATAGGGCTGGATGCGATTGGAAAGCAACGGGGCGTCTAAGCCCGACGGGAATAGAAGGAATCTCTACGACTCTAGTATATTTCTTAGAATCCAATTACCTCAGCACCTTCGTGGGATATATCAACCTCAAGTCTTTACAGACGTCTGGGATACAAAGCCCGGGCGCGAGCCGGACGGCGCATCACAACCTCTGCAAGCTGTCCATGCGCGTGTATGTGTGTGGACTTAAGCTGACAGCCAATTTACGATAATTTGGCCAATAACAGGTCATTTGAAGGTGCGTTATCTGAAGATTGCTGATTGGGCGCCTCCCGTACCCCGTGACAGATGATGGCCAGTATATAACCCCCAAGGCAGCAGAGCGGGGTAGACGGAGCCAGATCCAAAGCCAAATCCCGTTTCTTAGAAACTCCAGTCCTCCGACAATGATCAATGAGACCGACCATGAAATCCGAGGATGATGCAAGGCCCCGGTCGCGACCGAGGAGCCCAAATCCGGAGCCCTCGCGACCCGAAACGCCGGCCGACAACGACGCCGAACACCACAATGGAAATTGGAGCTATCATGTCAAGATTGGAACGCCTCCTGGGGGGTACCGGCTGGAGCTAAGCCTCGTTCAGAACTTAGCTGCGATCGCCGGGTATTCCGTGGCAATGTCTATATTACAGACGTTGGACAATGCAAGAGCAGCACGGGAACGACAGCGCCAGAGGGAGGCCGAAAAGCGCCGGGCAGACGCAGAAGATCAAGAAAGAAGGGAAAGAGAGCGGCGAGAGGCCCTGGAAAGACACATGCGAGATCTGTGGGCGAGCCTATAGGCTATATGACCATACTACGTCCCGCTGGCTAACGCTTCCTAGCGGAATCGACCTCGCGAACCTGACCATATCGGACGAGGATATATCGGCGGCCAGGGCGGACGTGGGCTACCAGGTAGGAGCTCGAAATATCGTCATAGCAGGCAGCCTCAACTCGGGGAAGTCATCTTTGCTCAATGCACTGCGGGATCGAACCTTCGGGGATGAGGACTATGCGCCTACTGGTGCATCGGAGGTCACGCAAGAACGCCACCGATACGTGGATCCTATACATAACGGGTTCGTGTGGTACGACTCACCGGGGGCAGGCACGGTAAGTGAATCAGCCTTTGGGTACTATCAGAGACGCCAATTGTATGCGTTCGACTTGGTCATGCTGGTGCATGAGTCTACCATGACGCAGGTCAGTGCAGTCCTAGATATACAGCCTCGCCCTGATAGTGCTATCACGCTAACGGGAGAAACAAGGCCGATGTGCAAGTACTGCAGGTCTGCCATGCACTGAGGACACCCTGGATCTCCGTGCGTACGAAGAGGGATATGCACATAGGGAACTTCCAGCTCGAACGGGGCTGCAGCCCTGCAGAAGCAAGGACTCTATTTCTCAGTGAGGTTGAATCCGATGTTGCTAGATTCCGACAACAGACCGACGCGAGTGCAACCGGATTTACGGAACAGTTTCGCGACTACGTCGTATCGGCTCCTGGGATCAGGGCGGCTGTGCGTGGAGGAACATCACCGACAGATCCTATAAACGCATTTACAGATGAGATGGAATTACTGCGCTATATAGAGCTAGCAGAACAAGGATAGGACTATACAATCGTTAAGTTTTGAATTATTTGTATTTTTAATATAATTGATTATTAGGAGAACACAGATTTAAATAATATGTACGCGCGAAACTTCATGAATCATAACTTCATGAACATTGCTACCCACGTGTTACGCCTTGTCTGTGACTATCGACGAACTCTTCATCGTCCCACAAGGTCCCCAGTCCCCCTGTTTGACACCCTGCAACCTCCATCTTCAATACTTTAAAATTTCTGTCTGGAATAGCGAGCAATGATGATACTTACGACGCACATTGTGAAAGGGTTGTCGTCATCGGCTGTATCCCCATGATCCTCCCCCATGAAAAAGTCTGCGGCCACATCGGCTGCACACCGAAGGTTCATCATGGTCTTTGCTTCCAACCGATTTGCCGGCTCTACACGATCGACGGAGGGAACTCGTGGGTCTTTCGGGTCGACATGCTTGAGTATACTGGCGACAGCTCTGCGTATCTCGCGACATCTGTGCATCGCTTCCTTCTTGATAGCGTCCTGCAAGAGTCGAGCATGGCTCGCATGCATGGCATCGAGTGCCGGAGCAATGAAATGCATCTCCCATCAACGTCCCTCATCTTGACGGAGCTGCCGGATGCTTGCGGTCGAATCGCCAAAAAGACTTCCTGGCTTGAGTAGAGACTCGATAGAGGAGCGTCGGTCGCGGATTTGTAAAGTGTATCGAGCGATAGACACCATGCGATCTCCTACAGTCTTCCCAAGGACATCCAGGCCTTTGATCGGAGGAGGCGACAGAGCGGCGTCGGTGGACGTTAAAAGGCAGTGAAGGAAGTGTCTGCGATGAGAATCGAGCGTCTCCGAGGTGACGTCTGTTGGCATACCTTTGAAGATCCCCGAAACGTGGTACGCGAACAGCAGCGTGAAAAGCCCACAGTCGACGCCATTCTACTGGCGAGCATATTGACGATATCTTAGTACACCATTCGGATCCAAGAAAAACTAAAGAGGTACTTACTTCGCTCACATCTAAGTCAACTTGAATATTATTGAGCACGCCTACCCGACGGAGGAACGGCAAAATGACGGCATTAGCAACCTTATTAACAAGCAGACCGCTTAGACAAGAATCGAAGAGGCGCACTTTGTTGTCTTAGCGGAAGAAGATAAACAATACCTACCTAGTGGCTATTACGGTACACAGGTATAAGGATCTTGTTATAGTTCCCCTATGCGATTTTATTAAAGACACTATTAGGTATACTTTGCGAGATAAAAACTAGATTACTAATTACCAAGACTTTTGTATTACCTAATAACAAACGGTTAAGAAGGGCATCAATGATAGTATCGTTGAGCATATATCCTGGTGCTAGACGGTATGCATTCTCCAAGAGCTCTGCTAGGATGGAGCGATACTTGAGCCTCGACGATGGCCTTGGTTTGGGGTGGGTAATTGGGGTGGAATTGATTTCTGGAGGTGCGTCAGATGCCAGTTTCGCTTGAGGAGATTGTTCACTTTCGACGATTTCGATAATAGGGCCTGGGGACGACTCGGGTCGGGCGGATATTTCGCGGGATTGTTTGCGCTGAATGTTTTCGAAAACGGGACTGGATGGCACGTTGAGTCGAGCGGGCAACGGAGAAGCAGGTCTAGCTCTCACGGGTATTGCTGGCCCATCTCTGGCAAGAGGCTTAAGTTTTGGTGGAGTTCGACATTGACGAGTGCACTGATGCTCTCATCGCCAAGACTGTCGTTGCTGGCATCCCAGTGTCTGCGTCTAACGTCAGTGAGTCACGACGCTTGGGATTGGGCGGAATCGGTGTATGTTCGCATGATGTGCGAATAAGCTGCAATACTCGGGGAGGGGGCGGCCCAGACCAAAGCTCTGGCTGGGGTATTTGGAAGTCACCGTCTCCATCATCATCAGAGTCGTGCGCAGATGGGGCCATCTGGAAGAAAAAATCGTCGAGTCCATCATTGTTTCTCAACTGAGAGAGAGGCGCTGAGTATGGCGGGGAACTGGCCACAGTTTGGCGTTCCCTTCTGGGTCGCTCTGGTGAAGGAGAAAGATCGACGGGTTAGGCTTCAGGAGTTTGCTTTCGTTTTGCTGGAGGATGTGAGAGTGGTGCCGAGCTTCTGGTGACGGGCCGTCTCGGTGAACGGCGTGCGAAGGCAGGTGCATCTTGCGTAGCGTCACCGTCTGTCGCTCCGGCTTTGATGGAGGCGGATCCGGCAGGAAGGGGCCGATGTGGATCAAGGTTGTGTTTACTACCGTCATCAGAGTCGCATTCATGCTTGTCCAAGCTCGCGGGGGGTTCATCTTCCAAGTCGCCGCTATTACTACTCAAATCGCTTTCTGACGACAACGGATCCTTAGCAAGCCGATATTTCCGCTTAATAAGGGCATGGTTAACTAAGAAGAGAGAAGAAGTGTAAGTAAAAGTAGAGAGAGTGGGATATAGATAGAGGAAATATACTGACCAATAACCTCCTTGGGCATACTAATGGCGTTCTTGACGGCGCGGGGACCGTACCGATTAGTATTGTGTCGCGGCACGCTATTAAATTAATTAACAAAGTCGGTAAGCAGTAGCTCAAGACTCGCCTTTCATAGACTATGGAGGAGATCAATGCATGCATAGGAAGCGATAATTTTATGGGCGAAGAGAGCAAAGAAGAGGCCGGGGGAGGCGTCCTAGCGTTCGGCTAACTTTACCAAACGGCCCTGCATGTCTCAAGTGTTGGATTAAAGGACGGCCTTGTGCTCCTGGCCGAGGATGCGGCAGAGTAGCTAACGGTCGACATTGTTGAGGGCTCAGACAATGAAGCCGGCGCCGCCGGTGATGGAGGAGTCTCTGTTGTTGGCAAAGTTGGCGTGCAGCTCGTCCCACAAGCCGCCAGTGTGCTTCTCAATCCCGATAATGTCGATCTTATTCAGCTCATTGAGCGTTTTGAGAAGCGGCGGGATCTCGGAAACATCTGAATTGACGAGGGAGAGGTCTTGATCGCTGCTGCGCGTCATCGCATTGATTGATGTGATGCTGGAGTGTTGATGTTGATTGATGGGCACTTGCGCCGAGATGGTGAGATGCGAAGGTGGGGAATAGGGACGCGCAAAAGACAGGAAATGGAGAGCCCAAGTTAAAGAGTGAAGAGAAAAAAAAACCGTAACGAAGGAAGGAGGGAAGATATGAATTGATCGCAAGGCAAGTGCAGGAAGGAACGCTGAAAAAGACAGGTGCGTAATCGGCGAGTACCCACTGTAAGAGAATGTGAACTTACGGTCCATTCTAGGCCAAACTAAGGTAACGCCTAAAGCGAGTCAATGCACTTGAGGCATTGCGGCAATTACCACTACTAGTCTTGAAGCAATTCTGGACGGTGCAGCACTAGGGTGCGTCTACACATAGTTGTCCGATGAGGGGCAAGGCAGCATCTGGGCTTGGATCGGGCGAACGATGATGTTGGTCCGGATGCTAGTTGAAATAGCCAAAGGTGGCGTTCTGGGGGACTTTCTCAGAGGGCCAGATGGCGCTGATGAAATGGAGCGAAATCCCCGTCAATATGGTCGTCGAAGCAATTAGGGAACATCTCGGCTTGGGTAAAGCATTGGCTGCGGCGTCGGACTTCGTAGACAACAGGGGCCACTGGTAAGAGAAGAATAGGAGTAAAGGGTAGAGAAGAGACAGGGCAACCTTAATTCGACGTACACTACCTTAAGGCAGAAAGGTTCTTACCAATCCTCTTAATTGTTAATACTGCTCTTGTCACATGTTCCTGAGTGTGGCCATTATGACGTGACCTGACAATTATGGAAGTCGCGCATCTTCTCCGGCTTGGATGTGCCTTCACCTTTTAGCATCGCGAGGTTAGTCACGCTTATCAGCACCTTCCCTATTTGCATTCTTTGCATCCTGCCCATTATTCTATCACATTGGGAAAGAAGTTCACCTCGGCTGTACTTTGCCTCCTTTCCCACTTCACTCTACGCCTTCACTCGCGGTTGACAAAGGACTTGGGACTTTAAACACTCAAACATGCAACAAAGCATCATAAAGTAAGGTATTAGAATTGGGGTATCTTGATATGCTGGAGAAAACTACTCGGAAGCAACGATCCATTTTTTGAACCAAGGCCAGTATGTCTGGCTGGACCATAATGCCAGGTACTCTAGAAAAGCGGCGACTTGGTGAATACCAAGTGCTGAGTTGGTGTCGCCAAAACGCTTCCCAAGCCAAAGAATCTGTGCGCCACCATTAGACCGCGAAGAAAAGTAGATAGAGGGTGGAAGAAACGCACCGTACGGGAGGAAGCGAGCCGCTCTGGTTGGTTGGCGGAGTCTTGAGGCTGCATGGGTTCGGGAGGTTCTGGAGACGTCGCAACGTAGATCCAGTCGTGGCCTTGGATGGCGACTCCGTGAAGCGCTCCCAGCTCAAACAATGCCTGTTGGATACTCCGCTCGACATCGTCTACTGTAGGAGACAGGATACCATGTTCTCTGAGTAGCTCCGGGGCCGCTCGGCGGAGCAGGCGACGGAGCATTGTCCAATGCGCAGCCTGCCATACGCCAATCTGTAGCACGGCCCCATCCAAGTCATGCCCAGGTCTCTTAGTCTCTAGACCGACAGAGATGGGGTAGGGACATAGGGCACCGTAGGACGTGTGATTTAGGCTCAAACGGGGTAGTCGGTTACGCAAAGCCAGCACCTTGCCCTTGATGTTGGCCGTTGTCATGTCGGCGGATGGGTTGAGGTAGATGCAAAAGTCGATGCGTTTGTCTGACATATCGATGGGGACGTAGTTCTTGATGATGGAAGCGGTGGTACTGTAGAGCGGGATAAGTCAGAAAACGATCAAATGTCAAAGGGCCACAAAACGTCAAAAGTGGCAAGATAGAGCTGATCATTGGAGGCTCACCATAAGCTGAAGTCGCAAAGATTGGTGCTTGACTGCCTGGTATCGCGGTCGCGCCCTCGAAAGACCTTTGTCAAGAGTAAATTGTGAACTTCAACATTCCAGACGGGCTCGTCATGATCCATCTCGAAGCAGCGGCGCGCATTTTCTGCAATTTGTTTGGCGTCATCAAGCTTCAGCCTGCTTGCGGGTTGCTGATCCGGTGCGAAAGACGCTGTCATCTAGATCAAATTCTTGCAAAAAGTCGGCAATTGAAGGTAGATTCCGGCCGGTAGACGACAGGATGTTTCTGCAACGCTCAAGCGACCGGATCCTGGAAAGCATGTCTTGGATAGCGACTGGATGCTCAGGGTTGGTGGGAGGACCAGAGAACTGCCGCTTGATGATGCCCTCGGTTCCTAGCGGAAGCTTGACAAATTTGTGGCGGGCAGACGATGTTGATCTTCCGGACACCGATTCGGAGCGATGACTAGCGCTGGATGACTTTGTCGGCGAAGACATTGGAGAGTTTCGATAGCTCGAAACTCGTGTTGGTTGTGCTGGTCTGGGCGTCTCGTCATGATCAGAACCTCGCACGAATTCGTCAGGCGCATTATCGGTGTCGACGAGTTGGGTCGCTCTTCGCTTCCTGGGAGTCGTGGTGCTCGGCGAGGACACCATCTCGCGAGGCTCGGAAAGAGATGAAAGATATGTTTCGTGACAATCGGCGTACAGATGGTCGACCAAGACAACCTCGTGGGATCTGCCCGGGTAGGAGGGATGGAGAGGGTCAAAATCGAGTCGCTGGCGTGTGCGCTTGTGTAAAGGCCGTTGCTGAATGCCTCCCAGCACTTTGTGGGAGCTTCGGGCAGTTGAATGCTCGTAGAGTCGAGAGGCTTGATCGAGGAGTATAGTTGGGTGTTCGGGATCGTAAATGTGAACGTGGTCTCGGCCTTGGATAGGCCCGTGGTTCGAGGCTCGGTCGCGGTCGCAATCGCTGTCCCAGTGGCAGTCGTGGGCATAATGGTCGGGAAGCGATTGTGTCCAGGAAGCAACAGAATCCCACATCACTGACAAGAGTTTGCGCGCAGTCGTTTTCGTACGCCGTGAGATGGTGCAAATCCGTATAGCGGCATGGTGGATGTGGGCATCGAGGTCTGGCCGCTACTTTTGATGCCTTGAAGACGCAGACGGATGGGATGAGCGCCGTTGTTGGCCGAGTAACAATCGATGCGGGGCCGTCATGAATACGTACCTTACCGCCGCACTGATCGGAGATGAATGCACCATCGTATGACTGGGCCACACGTAGCCGCTTACCTCATCCAGCAACGCTTATGTCATCAAACATATTTGACGCGTAACTTCGGGACACCGACCGACTCCGCGACAGGTCGATGTTCATGTTGACAGATAATTTAGTACTTGGGTGTCAGATCGCCCGCGGGTGGCCTCAGTTGACCCCCAGCCACTGGAAGACACGTGACTTGAACTTCCGGAGAGCTCACCAGACCAGATAATCCAACTTCTCGCTCATTCTACCACTTACCTGGAAATCCTTTCGCCATGGCGCCACAGGTTACCAGTTGGGAGGAATTGCTTTGGGTGTCTGAAGAAGTCGATGAGGACACTGGAGACTTCCAATATACCATGTTCGCTACGGTGGAAGACGACATGATATACTACGGCCAGTTGAACAAGCCAAAAGCGGACATCTTATTTCAGCATGCTGCTGACTCCCTTGCTCGAATTCCTGACGAGGAAATCTTTCCCCGGTGGCCCCAAGGTCTCACTCTCACTAAAGCTCCTGAGGAGCTCCCGCCAGACGTTTTCGTCAAGCGGCCCAGGCTAGCGCTGTACGATATCTTCTTAAAGCATAAAGTCGTGCATCTCCTCCCCAAGGGATTGGCGGAAGAGGCAGAAGCAATGGAACTGCTGGGGAGCCAACCTCACCCAAACATCGTTGGATACCATGGTTGCCACGTGCGACGGGGGTATATCACTGGACTCGTGCTCGACCGACACCCCCATGACTTGAACAGCTACCTAAAGAGCGGCCACACCATCCAAAACAAAGAGCTCTTTATAGAGTCACTGGAGTCGGCAATTCATCATTTACACTCGCTTGGCTGGGCCCATAACGACCTCAACCCCACAAACGTCCTCGTGGCAGAGGATAGTAGACCCATTCTGATCGACTTTGGCTCGGCTCGTAGAATTGGGGAGAAGTTATCGACTAGCCGAGGTACGAAAGGTTGGATTGATTGCGAGATGAAGCACTATACGACGTCAGAAATGCGACATGACACTTCAGCTCTCACCAAGTTTCGTACGTGGCTAGATAACCCAACACTCGAGGATTGAATAGCTGTGCTGTGCATTTCGAAGTTGACAACCAGAAGTTCTGCATGGCTGGATAGTGAGGATCAAATTCTGAGGCAAAGAAACGTTGTGTCTATATGGTCATGCAGCGAGAAATGTCACCAGGCTTAGATTGAAGAAGGATATCTGGATTTGCAAATTATGAGCTTCAATTACTCAAACCCCCGTCTCTGCTATTGGGCACCTTACTACCTGATGGTAATTGTTCGATGGTGACTACCGTAATTCGCCTGTTGAGTGGCTGTGATCTTCCAGACTGTATACAAGGAACGACTCATACTGCTATCTTTACCATCACCAGGCCGTCCAAGCCATTCAATGGGGTGAGCACCGAAACCGTTAGGCGATGATTCCTTCCTGAAGTAGAACCGCTTTCAATGCTTCCAGGGTCGGAAGAGGCTTCGAATCCTGGAAGACTGCGTGGGTGTTCTTTTTTAGCAGCATACACTTCGTTGCCCTTGCATGAAATAACCCCATCCTCTCCCACCTGGGAGAACCAACCCGTGGTGATTTGTGCGGGCTCAAGCCCGAGGACATCCATAGTATCCATCATCAGAGTGCCCTGTGGCCCAACCAGGAGCTCAGTCTTGGTCCGGTCTCTTGGGCCATCCAAGAGCTGCAGCGCAACCAAGCCTGCAAGGTTGTTGAGATGCAGGAACTCAGCAAGCTCTTGGAAAAATGCCTTGGGGACCATGGCTGCCTTAGATGGGGCTTCGCCTTCTTGGAACTCATACGGGACGAAGGCTCCATTGGGCTGTAAGTGAAAGACATGGCCATGAATAGGCTTGATGGTCAGCTCCTCTGCCGGAACGGGTTTGGTCCAACAAGATTCGGAATTGCCCGGAACCTGGACTTGGATCCCATACAGGACATTGCCTTCAGGGACCTGGAAATGAGCATGCAGAAGATGGATGCCGAAGGCATAATGGGCGTCGTGACGAACAAAAAGCTCGCCCAAGTTCTTGAGTATGGTGTCAGATATCTCTGGCTGCTCCTTAGGCTGGGGAAGATCATTAGAGCTACACGTCGATTTAGGGCTAGCACAAACCTCACAGGGGATCTGGGGAGCAGTCAGGCATACACGTTCCGGGAGTCTGCAAAGTCATCAGCGTTGGGCGAGTGATGAAGACCGGGGATGTCTACGACTGCAAGAGTTTGAGCAGTAGCCATTTTGTTGAATTGACGAGGTTAGAGAGGTAACTTGATCGAATAAAGGCACTGGCACACTGATTGTGAGGATTGATGTTGACAAGAGTTTGCGCATCGAACCACTCTTCAAGAGGATATGTTACTTCTTTTATACCCGGATCGCCCAGCTTACTGGCAGCGGCGAGGTCCAGGACAATCTGCCGACATTAAATTGCTGTCCTCGGCCTGATTACCAGATCCATGTCTGCATTCCATTCTCGCTACCTCGGTGATAGAATTTGCCCTCAATGAGTACCCACGGCTAGTCATTACCAACTGAGGAATTTATATTTACGGTATAGAAATGTTTGTGGTGACTACCCGGAGATACCCAATCGTACACGCAGGTGAAAGCGTAACCGCTTCTTGCATAAAGGCTGGCTGAAATGAGGGGTTGCTGCCTAAGGTAGTTCAATGCATGCTGTCTGTTGGTCTGCAGCACCAGGCAATCGGTTAAGGGAAACCGAAGAAGAAGCCAAGCATGGAGTCTTTGTCAAACACCTGGCTCGGTAACTCTCGTATAAGCCAATATATATTCAGATGCAATCTTGCTCATATCTTCAGGGTACTTTGCACGATGTTGGTCAAGCTCTCGGCCTGTTGACCGTCAAACCCAAGCAGAGAAGCAAGAGAGAATCCGTAAAAGACTTGCCCGGCTGGTGGAAGAATCACCCTCGTCCGTTTTGTCGAACTCGATGCTGTCTAAGCTCATTGAGAACCTTCCCTTAGTCTTCAATCAAGATTGCCCACAAGTCCTCACGCATGGGACCTCTCGGCAACGAATATTCTAGTCGATGAGAACAAGTTGGAAATCACAGGCATCGTCGATTGGTCCCTAGCGGCGGTTATGCCCTTCGGAGTAGATTTAGACGTCCTCTTCTTAGCCACAGGGTTCATGACCCAAGACGGCTGGCATGACTATGCATGTAAGTTGCTGCTGCGAGACACCTTCTGGAAGGAGTTCTGGGCTGTCTCTGGGATCGAAGGGGAGGAACTTCGGGGTGAAACACAGGATCTAGCTGAAGCTGCAGGCCAGATTAGCGCAATTCTCCGATTAGCATTCCGGCGTAACACTGATGGGTCACCATCTGAAGAGGTTTTGGTGTCAGAAAGCAGAATGAAACAGCTCAGGGCGTGGTTTGGCGAATAAGCGGCAGGGCTTACCTAGGGCAAAATAGGCCGCTGGTGTTGACCCCTATATTCCGGCAGGTTTACATTAGCACACACATACTACCGCATCTAAGCTGCGGCAAACATAATCATAGTTACTCAGCGGTAATCGGCCGTCAAAAATATCAATAGGCTTAAAAACCTAAAGCTAACAATAGCGGCGGTTCGACAAAGATCTAGTGATATAAAATTAACATTAAGCGAATAGTTTTAAGATATTATAATAAGATACTAAGCAACGGCTTAACTCTAATAATAATTAATTACTTATATTCTATCAACCAATATAAATATACTACGTAATTTATTTTAATTTAAATATATAATAAGGATATATTTTATTATTAATACGTATTATTCAATAAAAAGGTATTAATTTCAAGTTAAAAATAATGAAGTATTTCAAAAAGGTAGCGCTTATTTAATTTATTTTATAATATAAAACTATGGGTTTTTTTTAGGTTTTATTATTGAAATATATTAAATAATGTATATATATAGTAAGTTGCCTATTATAACGAATTACTTATTTTCTTTTCTTTTTATACTTTTTATTTTAATAACCGTTTTTCTTTATATATATTAATATATTCTTTTTAAAATAAAAGTTAAATTATTTTTATATTTTAAACTATAAAAAAGACTTAAAATTATTTACATAAAAAATAGCTTTTATTTATAATGTTTTAAAAATAATATTTTATAATCGACGTATTAGTTTATTATTTTAAAATAAAACTTGTTTAAATTTAAAAAATTTAACTTTTTTTAAAAAATTATAGTTTTAAATAAATTATTAATTTAATTAATTAAAAATCTTATAATTACTTAAATTTAATTTACTTTTATACGAAATATAATTATAAAATATAAAATATACGATAATAATATTTATAATTTTAATAAAACGGGCTTTTTAATAAAAATATTTTCGTATATAAAGGTTATTACGATTTTTAATTATAAAAAAAAGCTTAATATAAAATAGTTTAATAATTAAAATAAGTTTTATTATTTAATATATATATATATATATATATAATTAAATATTACTTTTATATATTATTATTAAGAATAAATATTATTTTGTTTCGTAATATATTAATAACTAATCTTCTTTTAAATTAAATATCTATTTTAATAAAAATAAATAATTATGAATAAAATTAACCTAAAGTAAATAGAATACTTTAAAAATTATATAAAGTCTTATATAAAAAATATAAAGCGGCTTTATATTTTCAATAATTATAATAATTCTAAATTAATTAAATTTAATAATTATTATAAAAAACGTATTATTATCGCTCTTTATTTCCTTTTTAATTTATTATACGAGTTTTAACTTTTTAATATTAATTATTTTAACCCACTAAAAGCTCCATATAAATAAAAAATTTAAAAAGATATTATAAATATAAATTACGTATATTATTAAAAACGACTTTTTTCTTATTTTTAAAATAGCTTTTTTAATTTTAATAAAAAGAAAATATACGAGCTAGTTTTAAATAAATTAAAATTTGATTTTTTAATTTAAAAATAATTATTTTTTATTTAGATTTTAAATTAAAAACACTAATATTATTTAATTTATATTTAAATATCTAAGGCTTTAAAAACTTAAAAATATTAATGATAATATATAACGCTATATAAAGCTCTATTTTACTTGAAAAATAAACTTATAATTATTAATATAACTTATTAATATATTTATATAAAAATATTCATAAATTAATATATAAATTAACTCTTATTAAAACTAAATACCACGGGCTTTATATAGTAAATAAAATACTAAATGAGCGTCGGAAAATAGAAAGAATTATTATTATATTTTAAAAAGTTATTTAATATTATTAAAGCTAAGGTAACTTAAATAAAAAAATTTCTTAATTTAAAAAGGAAAATATATATTAAAAGAATCTTTATATAAAAGGGTTAAATTACGTAAATAATAATATAATAATTATATAAAACATTAAATATAATATATAAATTTATTAAGTAGTTTAGGAGACCTTTAATAAAAAGGTTAATAAATAGTTTTAATTAATTTCGTACAATATAGCTCAATTAATTTATATAAATAATAAAAAAGTAATTAAAAATAAGCGACTTGCTATAATAAGCAACTCGCTATATATATATATTATTAAGAATATATATAAACTTTTATTATTAAATTAAATATAATATTTAATCGTAACTATTATTGATAAGTTTTTATTATTTATAATATAAAAATAAAAATAAATAAATAAAATAATTTTTTATTAATTATCATACTATTTATAAAAGCATAATTAATATAATATTAAAACTTATTAAAATAAATTCATTTATTTTAATATTTTTATTATATTTTATATTTTTTTTAAGTATTTTAATGTATATAATAAAATAGTAAATTAAGTATTATAATCTATGTAATACGGCTATTTCTTTAATAATAAAAGATTTATATTTATATTATATAGAAAATAAAACTAATTAATTAATCACAACGGCTAAAGTATAGTAATAAGAATTTTTTATAAGTAATTAGCTATATATATAATTAAGTTAATTTAATATATATATTTTAAAGTCTATGTAGTGTTCTCGAGTAGGCTACCCTTAAGTCACCGTGAACGGCCGATGTTTAAACCCCCTCATCTCCCCCTTGGGTAGGCCGGCTGGTTTGTGTAATGGTTTCATGTGATAAATCGGCTGCTACTGCTGGTGCTGGCACCGTACTTAAACTGCTGATTTCTTCATCGCTATGCTTGAATAAGCAAAAAGTCCAGGCATCTCGTCCAAAGCAAAAGTCAAGTAATGTAGCTATGGCCGTCCACTGATTTCAAAGACGTTTACAGCTTTAAAAGGTTCATAAAAATCAGCTTCCGCCTTTTCGCCATGGCATCGCTAGTAGGGAAGCTAGGCTCATTATCTGACGTTGCTGATGATGGCCCCAGACCCTGCGATTTAATCCTACCATACTTAATGAATCATGCCCCGGCGTTATACGAAGTCTAGCGATGTGTAGACTTCCCGCGCTAACATGGCCTGCATAGTTAACGCTGATGTCAAGTGATAGGTTTGGGAGAATCCCGAAGCCGACCTGTACCTCCGAAACCAGCGATCACGAGCCAATTATGCCAATGCAAAAGTTGCCAGGTCTTACTTCGTTATGATACAAAAGATGGGAAAAGAGCTACATGCTGCGACGAGCGCCTTTCAAGCCACAGACCTTGGCACACAGAAACCGCGGATTTTTGACATGTGTGCCGCTCCTGGAGGCTTCCTCGCGACCGCGCTTGAGATGTGTCCTGAAGCACGAGCAATGGCCTTCACTTTTCCTATTGCAGCAGGAGGACACAGAGGTCTCTTAGGGAGAGATATTAGGGTGAAGTTCAAGTTTCTTGATATCACAATGCTGGCTGAAGATATGGATACAAGCGTCATAGGAGTCGACCATGAGCAGCATGGAGAGTTCCTTCCACGAAAGATTCCGTATTGCCATTTGTTTCACCTCATTCTTTGCGACGGACAAGTGCTTCGGACGCAGAGTCGACCAGAATACCGCAAACCGCGAGAGGCTCACCGGCTCGTGTCAACACAATTGGCTCTAGGCCTTGAACACGCGGAACCGGGTGGAACCATGATCATACTCCTTCACAAGCTTGAGCAGTGGGACACACCCATGCTTTTGTTCACCTTTGACAAGTTTCATACAATCGCATCGTTTGAGCCCCAAGTACTCACCTAAGGCGCTTGTCATTCTACATGGTGACCTCGAACATTTGTACATTTGTAGCAAAAGCCCTTGAGCGACTCAAGCAGCGGCAAAGTGGAAAGATGTGTGGAACGTTGCGACATTCGAAGGAAATTAAGATAATCAAGACAACCCTCATGCGGATGAGCGTGATGTAGTCGGAGTGCTCGATGAATTTGGTTCGAAGCTGATTGAGCTAGGCAATGTCATTTGGCCCATCCAGGAAAAGGCACTAGCAAAGGCATTTTCCATGAAATCATGAAATAAATGGAAGGGTCATAAATCTGGGGCCGCAAAGACTGCCCTGACCTCTCTCCTCTGCTTTCATTTCCCATATGTCTTCTTAGTTGCTTCTGACCTCACACATAAGACAAGAGTGATTGGCATATTACTCAGGACTTTGCGACAAAGAAATAGAACTTTCTAGTTAAGTGTATAAGGCTTTTGCTTGCTCATCGCGGACTATACACACCGTTCGTTCAGCTAATCTATTTAGATTAAATCGCGAGATCTACGAGACTATTCACCAGGTTATTTGCTTCACCGCTCTCGTTTTCCGCTCCTTCTGCCTCTCGCCTCAACCGATTGATGCTCAGGGTCAATTGCCTTCTGGGAGAGTCGCTTTAGACTCGCCATCTTTGCAATTCAGGGAGTCTTCTACTGTCCACGCCTGTGATAGATCGTGGAAACTATCGTGTTGTCGAATAGCTTGCTCCAACAAATGCAGATGCAAGTATTCATGTTCCTCTTCACCTCATATGTTCATTAAAATAAGACTAACCAGACTTAGCTTCTAAAGCACCTCGACAATAGTCGGCATGCTGCCAGACAAGTCAAAAGGGCTCAGACTGAGAAGCATGATGACGCCTGGTAGTGCAGAATGCTCCAAGGCCATGTCACGTGGACGGCTGCTTGAGCCTCAGTAAACTAATCTCGATGGCCGACGAATTGATTCGGTACAAGTCACCGACAAGCCAATTCGCCGAGGCCTTTAAACCTACCCAATCAACAGGGTTTAAGACAGTGACAGGCACCAACCGACTGGCCAGATGCATGTCGTTGTGTCTGTCATAAAGCAGTTTCCCGTCCCAGACCCCTACCGCTTCGACGGGTTGCCTTTTGTGAGAAAGCCTTGTAGGCTACTTTCAAGTGGGGGGAGGTCGGATTGGGGGCAACGAACCATTTGCCTATGGCAAATAGCAACCTGGAGTCTTGCGCAAATCTCTGGACGTCGACGAAACCGAAAGCCCGCTTCGACTCGGGATCACCAGCTGATGCTTCTGATTATTCGAAGCGATCCGCTGCCTCCACCACCTAGCCATGCCGGCCAAGTGCACAGCTTGGTCCAGGCCGGGCCTCTTACAGCAAGAGAAGCGATCAGAGATTTTGGGCATCGATCAGTCCTAGATTCGTGTTGATACCATGGATATCGCGCAGTGCGGGGACGAGTCTCAGGACTCTCTGTTTGGAAGAGTACGTCTCGACATTGGCCGGAAAATTCAGCCCCCGCACTTTGAACAAGTTAGAGTTTATTTCCAGTGGATGCACACTATTGGATGATACTTTGCGCCTTGAAAGCATCGAAAGCGCTAATATTACTCATCCCCACTCGCTTGGTCTAGTTCACATTAACATCACTCCTTCCAACATCTTCATCACCAAAGAGAGCAGGCTGGTCCTGAGCGACTTTAACAGCTGCCGCCGGGTAGGAAAGTCTTTCACAAACGTGTCTGAGGGTACGAAGAGAACATACAGATAGCATGATCCAATTATCACTATCGCGTCGAGGTACAATAATTTATACGTAATTGAAAAGTTACGAACGTAGAGATTCGGATCATCGGCGGACAAGTTCATCTTCTAATAATAAAGCACAGATATCAGTAGAATGGCCGCAGAACTTTCGCTACCCTCAGGTCCTAATTATTCGCTCCCCTGTTTCTCCTGTGACATTTTGCCGAACACAAGCCGCTAGCCCGTTTACACTCTGCCGCTAGTCTAAAGGCGTAAAGCGCGACCGCCAATCATTCGCACATATTCCTACTGACAAAACCAGCGTGTCTAGCATGCTGGGGTGTATGCTTGGCGAGACCAACGTAAAGGCCAATGAGCGGTCTGGAAGTTAGGCCACTACTGCACCTTCGAGGTAGTGCCGTCTAGTTTATTGATCTAACCCCATGTGCAACAATTTGAATTCCAAGAGTCTACGGATACGAATCCTTCAAATAGCGTACCAGACCAAGGCCCCGGCCGCTCCGATCATATACATGCGGAAGCCGTCGACGGAGTCACTGGCTTCCGTACCCCGTCCCGTCACTAGAGCCGCAAATCATCACCTGGGCAAGAGGAAAAAAGAAAAACCGCCCAACATACGGCGGCTAGAAGTCCATCTCGGATGGCATAAGGTGGCATGGCAGTTGCTGCGAGTGCTATAACCCAGTTCGAGACCTCTCGCGGCGTCAGACAGGCAAGGTTTCAATAGGAGGATGTACAGGCAAGCCAGTGCTTCTTGGCCTTCGCCTATCGCCCCGCCCGAAGTGGACTCTACCATACTGTGGCACTCCGTAATGCGTACACACCTCTCACCCCTGAAAGCACTGCACCGCGGGCACGAATCGCGGGCGGCCTCGCATCGATGTACCCTACAGCCTTGCGGGCGCAGCACGCTTTGATTTGGAGTATGCTAGGAAGCGAAAAGTTACATATGATACTTTGACAATTGACCTGCGTATTGCTCTAGCCTGGATTTCGCTCATTTCTGCGTACATTTACTTCCCCTTAACATGACACTTAGCGGCCCGGGTTTGGTAAGGTCATTGCAAGGTGTCACGAAGCAGAGATAGTGGCAGAACTATCATGGTAGTACGGAGGTGCTTACCAAAAGTTTCTGCTAGAGTAGCTGGGACCATGTTGAGATTAATAAGGACAGGTACTTTACAGGACATTTTCTTATTAAAGATAATAATTTATAAAGTATCTTCTTTACGAAGTCAAGAATTCTTTAAGGGCTCGGAGGGAGGATTACCTAGGGATAATCCGAGCGCAAAGTAGACCTGTGTACTAATACCGTTGACTAGGTGATATCCCCTGTCTTTTCTTAGCACTTTAGTAAAAATTTTTAGTAGGCTCCATCGTACAGGTAAGTTTAGGTAGAGGTGTCGGATTGGAAGCCCAATTCGACCTCGAGTCAGCGCCAGCGCAGGGGCCATCTAAGGGTCTTTATATCAGCGTTCAACCGGCGATCTATCCTACGGTCAGAACCTCTCTTTTCCTCTTCACGCAGAGATCCTCTTCACGTAGAGATCAATACACAAGTAATTGAACCTCTGTCACCACGGTTCGATCGAATAAATCACCCCTGTGATACGTAAACCAACAAGAGGAGAGACTTTTAATGGCCAAATTTGTGTTTAAGGTGTACGCGGATCTTTAAAGTTATGCTATTAATATAATCTTTACTGTAGTATGAAATTAAAGTTTAACCCCCCTGTGAAGTATTTTAAGCCGTTCTTACTACTTTGCCTAAGCCAGACCCATATTACTTAATAAAGAGTTTAAACTTACTTATATTATTAATATAAGAGCACGGCTAAAGACATTTAATAAAAGGGCTAAACTTTAGCAAGATATTATAATAAGGATACCCTCGCTTAAAAATACTTATTATATATTAATCCGTTTACTTTTTATGTACAGTAAATAAAATTTAAACTTTATTTACATTTTAAAAACTTAAAATAAAAAAACGAGAACGAAGTTTTTATTTACATAAAAACGCTTTCTTTAATCTCAAAAGAAATTTAATTTTATTAATATTATAAAAAGGTTTAAAAAATAGTGTCGTCTTATAATAAAGCTAAGCTAAGCTAAATAAAATTAAATTAAGATGAGATTGGTATATATCACTTTATTATATAAGACTTACGAATCCCTTTGGATACCAGGCCGCTGATTCTGATTTTTTCATGACCAATTTCTCAGTCTCGTTCAGTACGCTGCAGTCACAGCTTCAGAGAATTCCAGTCTTCACAATCTTTACACCACTATGTGGCAAACTAACATCATCCTCTTGTGGCTTGCGTCAGTCATTATTCCGGCCTCCACACTTCCCCAACCTCAAACTGGGCCGTCAACTCCACCAGCTCGTGAAGGAGACTGTCCAATCAACGAACCAATAATCAGTGTTACCCAATCCAATCCCGAGGTCACAATAGACGTAGCAATCGAAGACAATGCCGGTATCGCTCATGTCACGGGATACTTTACGGTGGCGATCACCTTTTTGCCCCAGGCAAATCAGCCATTACGAAGAGCAACTATACGAACAATTGGGTCTGAGGTTATGGCTCCCGGAATACGTGTTTCACCGCTCTTCACCGCCTACATCAACCCCCTCCCTCTTGCCCGAGGTCAGGCACCCTCGGGAGCACGATTTGAGATCGGAGTAGATTCCCCGCGGCAGGCCGACCTACCCAACGCAATAACACAGTCACCGGAGGATGTGACAGTTGACTGGTTAGGCGCTAATCCAAGGGTGAACGCCATTATAACTTATCAACCCGAATATTATCGCAACCGTCGGATGGACGTCTGGGTTGTGAATTGGGACAGTCTCCGTCAACTAGCGGCTGCCATCTTCCTCGTACCTATTGTACGACAAGGACACGTCTGTGGTTCTAGAGGAAGTGCTCTTGAAACCCTAAATAGTACATTAGCGGATGCTCTGTCTAAGGCTTAGCAATTTGTTATCTTCGGTGTATTTAAAGGTGTATAAAATGGGTTGATCAAACTTGGATTTAGGTAGATATTATGTAGTCCGAGAGCCGGTGCCGTAATTACCTAGGTCCCTAGTTGTTAATATAACTTTGATCTCGCCTAATATTTTCTTATTTATAATTAGTGAAATGGGTGTTACTACTTAGATTTTTAATAGCTAAAAACTCTTTATTTCCTTTTTAAAGCCTTTCCGTGATGGCTTTGTAGTTTTTAAAAAG